TTAAGTACGAAAGTAGTACGCGAAGTCAACTTTCGCAGCTGGGGCTTGAAAATCGCAACTTTTAAGTACGAAAGTAGTGCGCAAAGTCCACTTTCGCAGCCGGGGCTTGAAAATCGCAACTTTTAAGTACGAAAGTAGTACGCAAAGTCCACTTTCGCAGCTGGGGCTCGAAAATCGCGACTTTTTAGTACGAAAGTAGTACGCGAAGTCCACTTTCGTAGCTGGGGCTCGAAAATCGCAACTTTTAACTACGAAAGTAGTACGTGAAGTCCAGTTTCGCAGCTGGGGCTCGAAAATCGCAACTTTTAAGTACGAAAGTAGTACGCGAAGTCAACTTTCGGGGATTGAACATCGCAACTTTTAAGTGCAGAGAAAGATGGGTAGATAGATAGATCAATAAACAGATATAGAGATAGCTAGAGAAATAGATAGAAAGAGATAGAGAAACAGAGATAGACAGAGATAGATAGATTTGTAGATAGATAGACAAATAACTAGCTAGATAGATAAAGAGATAGAAAGATAAATAAATAGAGAGGTAGATAGATAGATAGGAGATAGAGAGGTAGATAGATAGGTAGATCTATAGATAAATCGCAACTTTTAAGTACGAAAGTAGTACGCGAAGTCAACTTTCGCAGCTGGGGCTTGAAAATCGCAACTTTTAAGTACGAAAGTAGTGCGCAAAGTTCACTTTCGCAGCCGGGGCTTGAAAATCGCAACTTTTAAGTACGAAAGTAGTACGCGAAGTCAACTTTCGCAGCTGGGGCTTGAAAATCGCAACTTTTAAGTACGAAAGTAGTGCGCAAAGTCCACTTTCGCAGCCGGGGCTTGAAAATCGCAACTTTTAAGTACGAAAGTAGTACGCAAAGTCCACTTTCGCAGCTGGGGCTCGAAAATCGCGACTTTTTAGTACGAAAGTAGTACGCGAAGTCCACTTTCGTAGCTGGGGCTCGAAAATCGCAACTTTTAATTACGAAAGTAGTACGTGAAGTCCAGTTTCGCAGCTGGGGCTCGAAAATCGCAACTTTTAAGTACGAAAGTAGTACGCGAAGTCAACTTTCGGGGATTGAACATCGCAACTTTTAAGTGCAGAGAAAGATGGGTAGATAGATAGATCAATAAACAGATATAGAGATAGCTAGAGAGATAGATAGAAAGAGAGAGAAAGAGACAGAGAAACAGAAAGAGAAAGAGAAAGAGAAAGAGAAAGAGAGAAAGAGAGAAAGAGAGAAAAAGAGAGAGAGAGAGAGAAGCAAGGGGCCAAGGACAGTTCTCCAAACTATAGTTGTTCACTGCTTTGAAACTTCCGCCCCCCGGCTCTGCCGGACCTTACTTGTATATCTTTGATCCAGGCAGCCTATCTTTCAATTGTGCAAGAGGTACCCACTTCCTTTCCAGCTCAGAGACACTTACTCAGAGAACTTGCTAAGCCAAATATTCCTTGCGCTGGTCCAGTTTCCGCACTTTCCCGCTGTTTCTAGCATGTCTACATTGTGCTTGGAATGCTTGACCTCTTTTTAGAACCTTGCAGTGCAAGTGCTTTCTTTGTTTTGTCTCGAAGCTTATCGGAACTGACTTCATATCTCACCCGTAGCATAGAGCACATGTTGGACTGCAAGTCTGCACGCCTTTGCCCAAGCCAGATGCAAAAACAATGGGAAAGTTGCCTGCCTGCGAGGGGTAATGGTTGTGACAAATAGTTGATCCTCGACCCCCTGATTTAAAAAAAAAAAAAAGCAACTAATCCCTGCATCCACAACCCAAAATCCAAGATCAATCATTGTTAGGGGCCTTTGTGAGACATCTGGGATCTCTGAATGCCCCCTTGAAATTCCAAATGCAGCATTTGGATATCTGAGTCTAATGCTCCAAGAACTTTTGAAAAAGGTATTGTATTTATTTACCTGCATTTAAATGTTCACGGGGCGGTTCCAAAAAACTGAATCTAAAATTAGTCTAAACGCGTGCATGTATGTATGTATAGCTTTATTTATGTCTCTAGATTTCTGGGGCCCATCCATGTCCCTCAAAACTCCTGGCACAATCCAAGTTTAGTGGAGCACCAAGGAAGGTGCTCCTTTGTGTATGCATATACATACAGAGACTGTGGATGGACAAAATCCTGCACCACCTAAGAAACCCTGGAATGATGATTCTCCTGTAAATGCCAACAAATGATGGTTTCCCATGGTTTCAAAGTGGTGCGAAATCGATTTCGTTCATCCACAGTCTGTGTGTTCTAGGCCGTGGCCCGCAAGACCCCCCAACACCCGCACCACGGAGGAGTACCAAACTACAAGCCCGCCTGGTGATTAACAGGGAAACATTCAACCAGCAAAACGTGTGTGTGTGTGTGCCTACGTACGCTATTATTACAAGACGTGCAAAACGCAACGCCCCAAAAAATCCCAAAGCGCAATTTGTTGAGAGAAACCTCTTTATTTTAGAAAGGGGGGGGGTTGCCACACAAAAAGTCGTAAGGGGACACTACATGTCAGGCTTGCACAAAGAAAGGGTACGCAAAACCGTCTCAATGCCCAGCCCACAAGTCCATACTCCGGTGACGGGTCCCATGGTCCTGGGCAAAATACTCAAAAGGCCGCGTGTGTTTGTGTGTGTGTGTGTTGTGTTTTTCCTTTTTTACATTTCTCAACAAAGAACATCCATAGGAACAACATCCCTTACAACCCCCCCAAAAAAAAAGAACGGCGCCCTGAAAAATGGGCGCCACCCCCTGGATGCTTTCTCCGGGCCGCAGCAAGCCATCGAGCAGCTCCAAGGCCTCCTCCTCTGCCTGAGGGGTCTCCTCTGCCTCGGCCTCGACGCCGGAGCCTCGCAGATCAGATCGGCGACCCCCGAAGAGATGTGCCGGCAGAAAAAGGCCGCTGCAGAAAAAGGGCTTCTGGGCAGTATGTCATAAGCATGGTAAGGGGACTAACCCCAGTGACCCGATGTAACCACTGTAAGGTACTTGCCAAGTTGTCTGAATGTCCGCAAAGGGGGGTGTGCGCTCCCAAAGGCGAAAGAGCATGCAAAGTTGCTGAGCCAAGAAATGACAAGCCTCTCATCTGTCATGCTGGAGTGATTCAGTTGTTGCACACGTTGAACCTATTTGGACATTTGAACGATACACAAGCATCTTGCATGGGGTGGATGCGAAATGGGGCCTTTTCCCCCATTGCCTGGGAGTAGTGGTTTGGGGTAGTGGCTTCCCTGCCTTTGACGGTTTAAGCCACGAAAGCAGGTAATAAGCATAAGGGGACTAACCCCAGCGACCCGAGCGTAAGGTCCTCAGTGAGTTGGCTGAGCATCTCAGAGGAAACCCTTCTTGCCCAAAGGACTGCCCCCAGAGCCAAGAAGAAAGTACGGACTTTTCTGCACAAGGGCGTGTACTTTTGAGGGTACCCTTTTCAAGGCCTCAGGGGGAAATCACCTGGGGATCCCAAATTTGAACACATACCCAACTGGCTCCTCAAAAGCAAAGGGACACCACCACTTCTGTGGATGGTGAAAGCAACCTTGCGCCCCTGCCCTTCAAACTCACCCCGCCCTCCCCGCTTGCCTCGGCTCCTTCGGCTGGGCATTGCGCCCAAGAGCGCAAAGGCGCCGCCCCGGACGGCAAAGAGCCCATCCTGGCAAGTTCTACGGGCACTTTTGTCTAGGAATATGTACCAGTGGTTGTCTTCTGAGGTTGTTTGCAAGAATCCGTATTCATAAGTTTACAGCTTCCACAACGCATGCATGTGGACAGCTGTTCTGTCGGCTCGGATAGTCACAATCCCGGGCCAAGAGCCGCCAAGCCATGCACGGCCCATCCCCACCTCTGCAAACTCCGGCGTAAGCAACCCCTGGGGCGATCTCAAGACTACGGAATTTCCCCCCACCGCCCTGCATTCTCCAAGGAGTCTTGGCCCAACATGCAGCCACCAGCGGGAGGGCAGCGCTCGATAGCTGCAAAGCACCCAGTGATTGCATTGGCAAATCATGCCACGCTCTGTCCGTGCCTCGTCGTCCACTTCGGCCATTGCGTCAGACCGTGTAAAGGTCCATGCACTGCGACGCACTGTGCATGTAAAAAGGCTGCTACGGTTGCTGACGTACAATGCGGGGTTTGGTGCTCCTGTCGGGGTATGTCTTCATGGGGGAGAAGAGATGTTTGATGAAGCATCAACATTGTAAACATTCCATGCGCATGGTTTATATCTACTTCAGCCTGGGCCAGCAGATGGCCATGCAAGCGCGCAAGGCCAGGATGCCGCGAGCCCATCAAAAGAGATCAGAAGAATCACCCGAAAGCAACGTGGAAGGGCAATCGGAGAAGTGAGGCACCAAGCAGGAAATACAAACACCTGAAACTAGAATCAGGCAACAAACCAAAGCAAAGCGCTGCAAGACCGGCAGAGGGTTGTCAGGACAAGACGCAAAAAAGAAAAGGCCACTTTGAGTGTCAAATGAGAAACTTGGGCAGGCAAGGTTTTGTGGGCCTCTCTGGCTTGTTGCCATGTGACCCTCGAGGGTGTATCGCCAACGGCCTCAAGCTGAACACACCTATAGGTACAAGTATATATATATATATATGTATGTGTATATATATATATATATACTTGAATGTGTGCATTTGTATATGTACGTGTGTGTGCTCTGCATAGTCCAAAACATGTCTCGGCAAAGGGGGTTCCCACCCACCGGGGGGAGGCTCTGCCCAACCAGGGCATTGCTCCCAAAAGCAACCACAGACTAAGTCGCAACCTCGCCAAGGGGTTGGGCTTGCCACGAAGGTCGCGCCATGATTGCTTGGCCTGGGTCGATAGGGGAGGGGCTTAGGGTCCAAAGAGCCTGAAAATCTCCCACCCCCTCACCTGAGTCATCAAAACCTGGTACACAACCGCACCCAAAACACGGTAAAGACTTGCCACGGCCACATTTTTCCGGTTGGGGAAATGTGTCCCTTGCCCGGGTTTTGCTTGCGGCTCACACGCGCACTTCCCCGAAACGGCCTGGTAGAAGCCCTCCAGTGCTGCCGCAGCTAGGGCCGGGCCCATGGCCTGGCTCCAACCTCAAGCCCTTCACTCGGTGGGGAAGCTGACCCACAAAAAATCAAGAATAAACATGAGGGGAGGAAGACGCTCCATATATAGATAGATAGATAGATAGATAGATAGATAGATAGATAGATAGATAGATAGATAGATAGATAGATAGATAGATAGATAGATAGATAGATAGATAGATAGATAGATAGATGGATGGATGGATGGATGGATGGATGGATGGATGGATGGATGGATGGATGGATGGATGGATGGATGGATGGATGGATGGATGGATGGATGGATGGATGGATGGATGGATGGATGGATGGATGGATGGATGGATGGATGGATGGATGGATGGATGGATGGATGGATGGATGGATGGATGGATGGATGGATGGATGGATGGATGGATGGATGGATGGATGGATGGATGGATGGATGGATGGATGGATGGATGGATGGATGGATGGATGGATGGATGGATGGATGGATGGATGGATGGATGGATGGATGGATGGATGGATGGATGGATGGATGGATGGATGGATGGATGGATGGATGGATGGATGGATGGATGGATGGATGGATGGATGGATGGATGGATGGATGGATGGATGGATGGATGGATGGATGGATGGATGGATGGATGATTAGATTAGATTAGATTAGATTAGATTAGATTAGATTAGATTAGATTAGATTAGATTAGATAGATAGATGAATAGATGAATAGATAGATAGATAGATATATAATGTATATGTGTATTGTATGTATATAGAGTGTGTCTGTACATGTGTTCATGACTCACCTATTTAACCTATCTACATTAGATTCATTGATTCCAGGTATCGCCTTGCACCCACGAACAATCCCCTGGTTGGCACACCAAACAAAAGAGATTCGCTGAAGCCTATGACAAGCCCAGCACCAGCGTGGCACAGCTTCAAACCAGCACTGAGGTAATTCCGTGGAAGCGCTGGCCTTGCCCATGTCAAACATAAATCAAAACCCATACAAACCGATCTCTTAAGAATCAGCACATACACAATGGTGATCACCTATTCCCCTGTTCCAGGAACCACTCTGCTCCTCACTGGGTTTGCACTCTTGCGTCCAAACTTCGTTCCTGTTTCGCAACCTCCGTGTGGCCAGAGAACACCCAGACCAGCAAACCCCCAGGATGCCTGACATCCCCTTAAAACATCACCCCGACCAAGGGAAACTCACTGTGAACTGGCCAGAAGGTGATGTTCAAGCCAACCGAAGCATGCCCGGCCTGTCCAGCAGAAGATGACTTTGCTCGCCTCAATCCGGCTGCCCGTGCGGCAAAAAGCTATGTGCGTGTGTGCGGATCCACGTCTCTGTGCGGGTGGGTGTTTTCACAGTCCTGATGTGCATGTGACAGTCTCCTACGACTAAACCGAGGTCAATCAGAATCATGTGCCTCCCTCATGGCCCATGGGGCGACAACTTTCTCTCTAGGTCACTCGGGTCCAAAAGTCAAGCGTCTGGGATAATTGGAAGTCCCCAGATCTGACACATTCCCTGCTTCCAATCGCGGACATGGTCAAAGTGCCTTTTCACGATGATGCCAATCTTCCAAGAACCTCTCCTTTTGCAACTCACAGCACAGTCAAATGATTAAAAAACCTAAAACCTGTGGGTTCCTCTCGCCTCCCAAGCAAAGGACGCCCATCAGGAATACTGACCAACCTCCCGTTTGGAAACTGTAAAAAAAAAACTACCCTCTAGAATTTGTTGGTTTTCTCAGCTGATTGGTAGTTGTGATTGGTGATCTGGGATTTGCACCCCTGGTTCTTGTGGACGGTAAATGGGAAGCCCCTCCGTTTCACCACAAAACCACAAGTTGGAGCTCAGAAGATCCCGAGAGGCCCTCTGAACGCGGTCCATTCAAACCAAATGCGGGACATGCCCCAAAAGTGGCGATTGTCCCTGTGTCTCCCTTCAAAGCCAGCTATCCTAAGCCGGTGCCTGCCGTGCAGCCGTTGCAGCGCGTGCAGCGCCTCCACCTGCGAGCTCTGTCCAGGCGCCAAATTAAATTCGTTTCGGGCCTCAAGTGGAACCAGATTTAGAGGGCTTGTCTGGATGGTGTTCCTTGAAACCGCAATTTAAAGGGCTCGACTTTGGTCTTGGGGATGGTGACTTCTTGACCTGCAATTGTAGAAGGTGGGTTTGAAAGGAGGCATTCAAGAATCACACGTTGCAAAAAAACTGCCACGCATAGGGCCCCTGTCCAAACCAGTTCTGACCTAGTTTCATTGGTCTTGTTTTAGAGGGGGCCCTGTGCTTTTGAGTCATCTGGGGTCGACAAACTGATTCTGTCCACCGTGTTAACACCTCTTGCAGAGTAAACGTTGTCATGGCTGCGCTGCAAAGACACTTTGAGGCACGAAGTGGACCCACTTGAATTCCCGCCGCCTGTTTAAGGGGCAAAGGGGGGATTCTTCATTGCCCCGATTGGATGTCTCCAGCGGGGCCATGAGTACAATTCCTGTGCCAAACCCCCCAAGCTTTTCCCCAGGTTGGCGTTGGGAGGGATCTCCCTCTCACACCACGCTTCGGACCGATTCAATTGTTCTGCCCACCTCAGCGGTAGCGCGCTCCTTCGAGCTATGCCTGAGAGCGAAGCTTGCCAAGCCCACGCCATGCGGAACTGCGCAGCTGTGTCTCAAGGCTGTCCGGTTTCAACAAGCTTGGGCTGTGATCTTGGCTTTCCCTTTTCAGCAGCCCAAAGAAGGTCCCAACAAAAGAAGACACACGAACATGGCTCCAAAAAGAAAGTGCGATGGGGAAACTTCCAAAGAAGTCCTGGAAGCTTGTGGATATTTTACTTGCAGTATTGAAGACTCCTAGCAATGGGCACAAAATGTTCAGCAAACTAACAATCAACAGTCCAGTTCACACAAAAGAAATGGGCCGTGCTGCCGGTGGAGGTTTTCAGGACAAAGTGGCGCTTTCATTTGACACGTCCACCTTTGGCCCAAGTCTCTGACCTGTGCGCCAAAGTTACCACAGCGGGCTGACCCCAAAGCCCAAATGAACCCGATGCTGACATCGAAGCGAGCTTGCTGTGGGCGTCCCCATTTTCATCCGCCGGCAGGGTCACCAACCCACTCCGGGCAGAGCGCCACTTCTCGTCCTCCCCTTCCCGGGGCCGCGCTGGGACCTGCACCAGCGGGTAAGCGCGGAAAAGCCAGAATTCCGTGAGCGCACCCCGGAAAACGACCAGCCAAGCTGCTTGTGTGTAGATTTTGGTGCAGTGCCCTTTACTGCCTGGGGGGCGGTTGTTGTTGGTGCTTCGAAGAGGGCCAGACTAGGTGAGGAAATTCAAGGAAAGTCGAAATCCAAGAGCAGGGCCTCCTCGTCCGAGTAGTCCACTAAATCCTCTTGGGACAATACCTGCCGCAGCTTGCTTGCTTCACCCCGGCGCGGTTCGGCGGTAGCTCTGCCTGGCTTTTTGCACACCGGGGCTGGGCAATGTGAAACGCGCCAGGTTTCAGGCAACACGCTTCACAATGCTGTTCCAGTGCTTCCCCACGTTGTAGCCAAACATGTCCACATACCTCTGATGGGGTTGGCAGTCGCCCAAGCTTCAAAGCCTCCCCCCCCAAAAAAAAAAAAAAACAAGTGCCCATTGCTGCTGCGTCGCTTGGTGTCGCACCGGTACTTGTCGGCATGTTCCGTGCCTCGCAACGGGAGCGCGTTGAGCATGCGAGTTGTCTCTCTGCGTGTCTTCTGATGGCCGACCCTGAGATGTATCACTTGGTCGATGGATCACGGGCCCCCATGTGAAAACAACCAAGCCAGTCATGCCTCTGTCCCCATGCAAAATAAATTCGAGCCCAAAGCGCAAACACATGTCCAATGCCTACCTGCAAATTTCATCTGATGCTTCTTGGCCACACAGGGCATTATAGCGGAGGGTTACATCAGTTCTGTCTATGGATATAGCCGATTTTCAAAGCAGGTTGAACATCCAAGCACCCCCCCCAGTTGCAGACCAACATGTTATAGCCAATTGGAAGCAGGGCTGGATTTTTTTGGGGCTGGTCACTCAGGAAACCAGAACGAAACCAACCAAAAGAAAACCAATCGGTCCGGGCGTCAGTAGCGCACGAAGATCTCCCGCTTTCTGCGCAGCTGCTGGATGGCCTCCGCGGTGCGCTCCCGCTTCTCTGGGCCCTCCTACCAAGAGATACTGTGAATGGACGAAACCCACTTTGCACCACCTAAGAAACCCTGGCTTTTGATGATTCCCTGCAAATACCAACAAAGAAGGTTTCCCATGGTTTCTTAGGTGGTGCAGGATTCTGTCCATCCGCAGTATGGCATCCGGAACTCCGAAGCTGTCAATCATTGGTTTGGACCCTGCCCATCCAGATACTGACAGAAGATCATGGTATTTTAGAGCAACCACGAAATGGGGCTTTCAACTGATTTGTAGGTGGGGGAACACGTCCTGCTCATGGTTGGCCTAGCCCTGGTGGGAGACCTGTGCAACGGTGGTGGCACATGCCAAGTGAGCGGTTGATGGCCATTCCTGGCACAGCTCTCACCGCCTGAACAGGACACGCCTTCAGTAAGAAAATAAGCCCCTCCATGAGAAGTTTGCACCCCGTCCTCAGCGTTGCTCTCCGCGAACCAATCATGCATCTGCAGACTGGTGTCTTCCACCTTGAGCACAGTTTTTTTGGCCAAACCCACTAGGGACCAAATGGGCAAAAAGCGGGGCATCAGGTTCAAAGCTTCAGCAGGTGACGCTTCACTCCCGGCTACGGTTGGGATATGCCATTCGTGCATCCGCCCCTGCACAATGTTAAAAGACCAACATACTTTCAAACATACCGAACAACAGTACAAACCGAGGGGACTTTTTTCAAAGAAAGCCGCATATATTGTAGCAGATTCACCCCCCACTGAACCACCAACTCCACCTGAGCGAGCCGCCACCAGGTAGTCCCCGGGCTGCAGGACCGCATGCAGCCGCGCCATGACCGCAGCGAAGTGGTAATGGGCATCCTCGGACACCAGCCTCGGCTGTTGCACTGAGCGTAAGCTTCGGTGTTTGCCGTGTTGAGATGTTGAGCGGTATGCCCTGATGTTAATCTTACCTTGGCTCGCAAAGGCAAAAATATGGGTCTCTTTTTTGAGGGCCCCTTTTGTGGTGGTTTTGAAGGGAGCGCAAACGAAAACTAACCACATCGTCATATGCACCCATACGTCCTTAGCGACATCCCCTTTTAAGGGTGGAGACCCGCAGCCCAGATCCTATCTGAAAGCAAAAGCCCAGCAGCCAAGGGCGAGGAAGAGCGGACACAAAGTCATCTGTGAAAAGCTCCTCCGGAAGGGCTCCCTCACAGGTTTGGCTGGGTTTGGTGGGCGACCAACAACTCCGTTCCCGTCGGGCTTGCGGGTCTCATCGCAGAGACATGAGACAGTAATCTTGTGCCAAATGGAAGCATAAAACTTATCAGGCAGACAAACGTCCATTCAGTTGGAAACGCCAGGCTAAGAGGTGCAAAGGAAAGATCTGGGAGGTTCATTCTTTTGTCTGTGAACCAAATGGGTTGCCTCACATTTCCCAACCAAAAACACGCTTTGCAACCTCTCGCCACGCCTGGAAGCGCTCCGTGCTGCATTCCTGGGTGGGCGAACCAGCCGCTTCAAGACTCCGAAAGGGCAGTTCCGTGCTGGTGACAACATAAGGTATCCCAAGGGCGAGGAAACTGCAGTGGGGGCAGGGGGGAGGGGCTAATTGACAACAAGCTTCATGGAACTGGATTTTGGGATGCTGCCGGGCAGTGCTTCCTGCACGGGTGAAGGCACAGCGCCCACTAAGGAACTGGGCAACAGCGCCCGACCCGCGCATGCACTCGCCGTATGTCATTCTCACTGCTTGCAAGTTGCAGGTGCCAAGTCTTCTGGCCAAGTTGCGTACACTTCTGAGGGTTATGTCCAGGCTGACCTTCGGCGAGCAAAAGATGAGGGCTCCATGAAAAGGCCGTGGGCTATGTGAGGGCTTCCGCGTTCAACTACCCGTCCCGTGCAACTTCCCTTCAATTTGCTCACCAACAAACCCTTCAGCCAATGCACAACCTTGTGAAAATCCTCGCCAACCAGCATCTGCGCAAAGTCGGCAAAGAAAAGCCTGAGCCGAGCTTTGCAAATGATGCTAGGCGCCGTGAATCATGGAGCTGGCCGGGTTACCAGCCCAAGGGTTGGACAATGCCGACACCTGACACCTGGGTTGGACAATCTACTCCTGCAGAAGTCAAGCTTGGAACCCAAAACGGTTCCCCGAAATGACGATGCCCCAAGAATTGCCGCCGCTGGTTGGGGGCTCCACGTTAACTAACCCGCGGGAACATCATCATGTTTTATGCAACCTTCTATAAGACGCGCCAGGCGCCTTCAGGAAAGCCATCAGCAAAAGCCAAGAACAGCACCCTGCCCACTCAGAACAAACAGGCAAGGACCTCTGCTTCTTCCGTTTGGACAATACGAAGGCATGCCGCTTCCCTTTGGCTTCACCAAAACGCCCTCCAAAACCGCAAGAACCACCGGAGAAAAATAAATTTAAATAATAATAAACAAATAATAAAGAAAACAAATCGAGGCTGAGGCCATGCCCTCGACGTTTTCCCCACGTGCCCGCGCCCATTTGGGTCCCCGGCGCGCTGCCGCCGGCCCAGGAGCCGATGTCCACGATGGTCCTGGGCTTCAGCTCCTCGATCCTCGGTGGGGTCCATTTGCATGACAGGCGTGGAAGAGGCGGGTAGGTGTGTTGTTTTGTGTTTGTTTCTTTTTTTCTGAGGGCTGGTTGAACCATGCAAAATGTTGAGGGTCTATTCTCCAAGTGCTTTTTGAGGGTACCTTGTTTTGGGGTGGTTTCAGAGGGAACCCAAGCAAAAAAGCGAAATCCATTAATGGGGGACCCCTGTTTGTAACGCACACCCAACCCCCCACAGAAGAAGCAGCCCTGCTACCCTGGTCTAGGTGCTGCCTGCCATTCAAGCAGGCAAGCGCTTTCATTCATCAATGCACACGTTCATGATTGCAATCACAACATTGCAATAGGAGAAGCACACATCCAACCAACAAATAAGTTTTTGCGAAGTAACTCTACGGGCGAACAAAGCCTCGCTCCCTGACCAAGGCCCTTAGAACCTTCTGATCGAAGAGGTTCCGATGAAAACTCGAGCCCTTTCTGGTCAGCCGGGGGTGTGCTCCGAATGTCTCTCCTGACGTCAGCGCGCTTCCGGAATCGGAGGCCTCCTTTTGGTTGGCGTCTGAATGGAAACAGAAGTGGACCAAAAAAAATGAGATCCCTCAGGTAACACCCACCAGCTAGGAGCAAGCACCAAGCCAAGCAATATGGTTCGTGTCCATGGTCAAGCAGGTTCAACAAGGTGAGGAAACCTCCGGCTACATCCAGGGAACCAACCCCTGTCACTAGGATAAGCCCAAGCCAGCCCCAGAACCTTCTCGGATCCCGGACAGCCCCACATGGATTGACTCACGGACTCTTTTTCATGGATGCTCAACCAAAAAACCGCCTACTCCACCAGGAAATCCTCCAAACCAGCCTCTGAAACTGACTTCTCATGCGCCCAAGACATCTGCAGCGCGTGACCCGTCTGAATGCCAGCTCAGCTGCAGAGTGGCGTACATTTGCCAATCAAGCGCGGATTTTCCTGCGAACTGTCCCACATGTTGGTTTGCCCCGAGGAAGGGAAGAGTGCAACATGGATAAACCAATGGTGACAGCAAATTGATCCCCTGAGATCCTGGGTCCTGCAACTGTTTGTGCTGAAGGCACATCGCAGCATCCATTTTGTGCCAAAAGTACTCCCTGTGCCCTCTAGCCAACGAGCTAGACCACGGACCAAAATCTGAACCAAATCCATTCCCAAGCAGCTTTCCTAATTTCAGGACCCCCTTCCGAGAAGAAAGCCAAAATGTCAGACAACATGCCCGAAGTTCCGCCAAGAGGCCCAAAGGCACTCCCTTCCAGGTGCTTCGCGCCTGAAACCGAAGAAGTGGATTTGTGTTCTTGCCATTATTTTGAGGTGAGGCCAGCAAACGTGCGTCGAGTCGCACATCATGCTGTGCAATGATCCGCGCCTGGCCAATGTAAACAGCTTCTAGCGTGTCCAGCGACATGTCGGTGTCATCCTGCACAAGAGCTCAAGCCCAGTTGCGTCAGTTTGGGCTTTCGAACGCTGCCGCACTCAGTCCAGGCTAGACGCCACACGATTCTTCCGTGCTAAGTGGCAAATGGCGGCCAAGCCTCCGTTTTGCTTGCCGTCTTTACCTGCTGTGGTCAAAGCAAACAGACTTTACCCTTCCTGGAAGTAGGCAAACCAATGGGCTCACGCAGCCAGACTCAAACTGGCAACCTGTGGAACTCTGAGATGGTCTTCCCCTCTCCTCACGGTCAGCCAGCGCAACCAAGCGTTCCTGGCACATATGCCGACCAACAATGCATGCAGAGGCAAAAGAATCCATGAATACTCGCTTGTTCCTTCCTACTGGTACAACATCATCCTAGGCATGGCAGTGGTAGCTCCCACCTTCAGAAAACACAACAGCAAGTCCTCAACCAGGCCGGCGGACTCAACTCTTGCCGCTATGTCCTGCAGCCAGGACGATAGCCATCGGGAATGGAGCAACAAAAATCGCAGCTACTTTTCTCCAAAACCACAAAAAGCAAAAAAGCTAAGCGCAAAAAGCTCCTCGCTCCTCGTGCCTGGCTGCGGTTGCCTCATCTGCCTCTGACAGACGCAGGCGCTTGTGCTCCATGCAGCGCTGCAGGCAGCTGTTCGATCGGGAAGAACTGCAATCCCTTCTCACCCCAGAAGCATGGCTAAAGCTTTAAGCGAACCAGGCTTAGGCTCCTTGCCATGGCATGGTTATGGACTACCTACTAAGTGGCTGGAACACCTCCCAAGTTGATGGTCATTCCCAGTCGCAACCAGCGACCCTGGTAGGCCAAACAAAAAGGGGCTTAGAGGCTGAAATCCACCACTGAGTGACTGGGCTAGAACACACGATGCCAAAAAGGCGTCTTGAACACACAAAGCAAAATCGCCCCACCTGGCCGTTTGGCCTACAGACCAGCCACAATAACAACTCCTGCAATTGAATACGTAGGCTGGTGCAGCTGTCGTCGCGTCGTTGTCATGCTGCAGTTTGACGGGAAGGCATGTTGTCCACCCCTAGTGTGCTTTTGGCTCGCCGGAGCCACAAATGCTTCGGAAGGCAAACACAGCATTGGACAAGCTCACCGAGAAGGCACGCACCACCAGCCGGTGCTTGCAGCAAACCCCCAGGAAGGCAATTGTTGGTCAGACGGGATGCAGCAAGGGCATTATATTATATTCATATAGAACCCCCCGACCCCTGATTTTAAGTCCACCCGCAACCCGGCCTTCGAGATCTCCCCGTACACCCGGCCGCCCCCTCTCCGTGGCAGTCGCTGCAGCCTGGTCACACAGCCCTCTGGCCCCCCACGGTTGACCGACCAACTCCCTGTAGCTGCAGCGCCTTTGATAGGCTGCCCGGGAGAGCAGGGGGCCCCAGAACCTCAGTTCGCAAAGGTCTGCGTCACCATCTATTTTTGTGCATCATGTCACGATTCCCTTCATCAGCTCATCAACCCCTGGGACGCTGCCTGAGGCACGTGATCGGGCCTTCCTTTGCATGGCCTGCTCGGATGCCGCTTTTAACCCCCCAGTTCCATCCTTCGGGCCGGCGCAGCCCGTGCCAGCCATGCCACGCAGGCCGCGCATGCGCTCGCCGCCGCCGGAGCGGCAAGGAGAAGAGCCGGCCTTGCACCTGGCAGGTGGCCAAATGGCGGCTTTTCAGGGCTCAGGGCCGCTACAACCAAAGCTTCTGTCTCCATTCATATGTGGAAATGTGTATGCAGTCTATATACATACACACATACATATACACATGTAAAGCCGTACATGTAGGTAACGTGCTCCAAGGGGGAATTGCAAAACACCTTGGAGCGCCTGAGCGCCGGCTTCGTGCCTCTGCTTGATTGAAGAACATATTCAGCAATGTGTCCGCCCCTGCGTGCGGTGCATGGTCCTCCTAATGCATATCCGGAATCCGTCGCCGTAAAGATGGCGCGGAAAAGGGCACACGCCACTCGCAGAGCCACGATCTGGCCTATGCGTCCACTGTGAGCGCAGCCACGACTCAGAGTGTTGGTATTGCTGAGGTTCCCTGAGCACATTGCCCGCGACGCCCACCGGGTGGATTTATCTATTGGCAGTTCTCCGACTCGCAAAGAGCGCGAAACTGAAGTGCACCCACATGTGTATTATGTATATATATATATATATATATATATGTGCATATGTTAATTAATACACTTGTATAAATATATAATTATACATATATATATATATATATGTATATATATACATATATATATATATATGTATATATATATATATACATATATACATATATATATATAATATATATGCATTGTATGTGTATCGTACTGGCGCCTGTATATATAGTACACATATATACATATATACAATTATACATATATACAAACATATATATATATATATATATAAAGAGATATATATGTGTGTAATGTGACAATGTGTGTCATGTGTGTGGTTCTGTGTGGTTGTGTGCAAGGCGCATGTTGTATCATTGATGGATCTGTTGGCTTACTACTTTTCACGTAACTATGCCTGAGTTCGTGTGCATCTGCAAATCTACATGGCTAAGCCTGCGTGGCAGATTCTCGTCGGCTCTTGGCAAAACCTAAACCGAACACAATTGGCAGTGTCTCAACTTCCTTCACACCGTCTCTTTTGCCGTTGGCAGAATCAAAGCTAGAGGGGCCTGACGATTGCTGAGCTCCAAGCTGGCACTGGAGCCCAGCACCCAGTGGTTACCCAAAAGAAGCCGCCCCAGTCCCGGAGTCCCCCCCACCTGCGGCTTCGGGGCCGCTCCCGGGAGGTGCAGCAAGGTGCCCGGCGACAGCGCCATCGCAGCCAAGTTGGGAAAAAGCGGCGGACGCCAACGCTGCAACAAGAGAATTCCATTATTAGACTCCTACACGGATCCGCTCCTTGTCCAAAGCCAAGCAAGTGCCAAACGAAAGGAAAGCAAACGGATGATGCACTTTGCCCCTGTTTGTCAAGAACGCATCAGCAACGTGTCGACCAGCCTGCGTCTGAAGGAAAGGCTATCATCTAGACGGTTGCCACGTGGAATCACGCTTCTATTGTGCATGAAACGGCTCCGGCTGGCGCGGCAACCATTCAAAGCAGCACATCCAGTGTGGAGCCCACGCCCTCCATGTTGAGCAAAGGGTTTGGGAACTCTGGAGGCTGACGTGGTGGGCTAACATGCAACCTTTGGCACAAAAAGGTTCCAAACTCTTGGTCAATTCGAGTCATGCTGATCTCTTTGGACCATAACGAATCACCAAGTTCGAAGGCCAGCACAAAGCTGCAGAGTCGCCGCAGCAAAAAAAAAAAACATTCTCGCCCGCGGACATCACGCCAAAAACAAAAAACAAGCAGCCATGCCTTTTTCGCGGGACAAGCGATGCCAGTCTTTCAGGCATCAGTTGCCACCCTCGTCTGCCTTCACCCAGCGAACATCCAACCTCATGTGCTGCATGATTATCCTCTGTCTTATTTTTGGGGTTGCTGCCCAGACTGGGTGGGTCCAGTTAGCCGTTTTTAAGTCCAAACGGACCAATCTTCGCACACCTCCTTGCCTCAGCAGCCTTCCCTTAGCCTCCAATTGCAGGCAAAGAGCTCGCAGCCAGATGCGATGATCATGCCTTGACAGACGGCGGTCCAGAAGCCAGAAGTGCCAATGCGGCTAACCAGCCTGCTTTAAAACAAGTCTCCCCCCCCAGCGCAGGACGCTTGTCGGCCACTGTCAAATCGAAGCAGACAAAAAAGCATGCGTCCGGGCCGGATTAACAGCAGGCCAGCCCAATCCAGACAAGTGTGGACAGGGGGAACTGTGTTGTGCCAACAACCCGCGTCCACGCGAGGGCAAGGTGCAAACCTCTAGCAAAGCCTGTTTGGCGGGGAAAGTCCGGCAATGCTGGGGCTGAAGCAGGGATGTGGAGGATGCCAGATATGGCAAGGAGCCAGGGATGCAGGAAGGCTTAGGATGCCGGAACCCAGCATTAAATAGCAGCCTGGGCACTTGCCACTGGGCAGCGGCTCTTCACAGCTTCGGCCACTGCCGCAACTTGGGCACCGCTCGCATCGGTGTGCACCTCACTGTCAGCCCAAAAGGCGAACGTACGGCTGACCACTGCAAACTCTGGCATCTTACAGCAAACGTGCTAAAAGTGCGAAATGCTAATGCCAAGGCCAAGCTGCACGTGCAACACCCCATATCCTGGCAAGAGGTTCACGCGATTCAAGAACCCAGGGCGACGAAAAGGCGACAAAGAGTGCAACGTACCATCTCGGCCAGTCCTTTGCACTCTGCTGACGCTAGGTGGTGCTTGATGAATTGGGGGCTGCATGCTGCCCCACTCATCTCTTTCAGCTTGGACATCAAACCTCAAGGAGCGCATGCACCAGCCCTGACCCATCAAGCCAATGGCCTCTGCCCGATCCGACCTTCAAGGTTTTTGCCCGAGCGGCTCGATGCGCCGAATCGGCGGCAGTCGCATTTTGGTCGCCACAAAGTGTGCGGTGGCTTGCTCGCAGCCCACCAGCGCTGCCAGCAAAAGCTGAACCTCGACACATGAGCATGGGTCAAGATTAAACCACCAGGGGACCGCAGGTTTTAGTCCATGTTACCTTTTTGACCCACAGCCACATGGCGACAGGACAGACTGGTTGCTGGGCATCACCCCCGAGTCTTGGACTGGCTGGGGCGCGGAGCCGGTGCCTGACAGATGCTTGCATGCCGAGGTCCGTCTGCTTTTGCAACCAGGGTCAAACAGGCATGGCGCCTCCAGCCGATGGCGGGGTGTCCGAAACAATGTGATACCCATCCTCGGTTTGGCTGGCTGCTCTGCAGCCCACACCATCTGCAGTGATGTGGTAGCCTCACGTGCAAACTGTCTACAAGCGCAAGGGCCCGCGTGACCCACTAGTTGCACGTGGTAAGACACTGACGTTTCCATCGCGGAGGGCGCGCGGACGCAAACGTCCGTCCTGACAAGCTGCCCACGCCTGAGCCGAGCACGGGCCAAAGACTAGAACCACACCCCGCCACCAGCAACACAACCATCACCAACTGCCACCAAAACGTCCAGGCACAACCAATCCTCAGCGCCGCACGGCTCCCTCGCATGATCGCAGCGCACGCCCTGCACCACGCAGAGGCAAATGCCATAGCCCAAGGTCTGCTGTAGGGACTGGCCCCAGAAACCTTTTTAGGGTTTCATTCAACTCAAAACACGCTCAACAATTTGCAAGAGCCAAGGTGTTGTTCAACAAAGCTGGCGGCTGGGCTGGACATCGTGGTGCACTGGCAACACCTTGTCACACGAGGCCCCTTGATGGAGCTACTTGGCTCAATCTGTCATCTTTCTTTCAGACTCGAGCCACGGGGCAAACCCCATATCATGACGTGTCAAATACACAAATATATACATAAGAACTAGCAACTGAATGTACATATATTCTCAGCAATTCCAAACCAACAAAAAATGATCCTTGCCAAATACAAGCTTGGAGGGCAACTCACCACATATCAGAGATCATCAGTTACATTTCGTTCGCTCCTTTTACTCGCTAGGCAAGGGGCGTCAGTGCAAGAATCCCACCTGGGATGGCAACCTCTGCCATGCGCACATTGCCATGCCCAGATTGACGAGACCTGTGTCAACTCGCAAAATCACCCCCCAGTTGTTGGGGCGGGACAGGGTCAGAAAGAAGGTTGCATCTTCTGCGAAGAGTTCCATCTTCTTTCAGACTCGAGCCACGCATGTCATGACGTGTCAAATACTCAAATATATACATAGGAACTAGCAACTGAATGCACATTTCCTCTCAGCTATTTCAAATCAACAAAAAAATGATCCTTGCCAAATACAAACTTGGAGAGCAACTCACCACATATCAGAGACATTTCGTTCGGTCCTTTTACTCGCTAGGCAAGGGGCGTCAGTGCAAGAATCCTACCTGGGATGGCAACCTTTGCCGTGCGCACACTGCCATGCCCAGATTGACGAGACCTGTGTCAACTCGCCAAAACCTCGACTCAAGCTACCCTGATAATGAACTTGTTTACCGACGTACATCTTGCCAACTCCAACATGGCAGCCGAGTTGTCACAAAAACAAATGACGTCTGCGTGAGAAATCAATTTTTTGTGTGCATGCAGGCCACACAACACGGCGAAGGCTTTGAATTCATTGGTCAGAGTCTTCCTCTCTTCCGGATGAACCATGTCCACATTGGCACGGGACAAGGACAGGCCCCAGCACTGCACCCCAGCTTTGTGCGCACTGGATCCGTGTTGGGGGACCCTCACGCACTTGCGACCTCAGCATGCGCAGAACCCTGCGCAAGGATTCATCAACCCGGCTGCCAAGAGGGAGCTAGCCGAGTTGGTCAGTTCCTACTGGAACAGTATTGTGGAGACAAGATTGCGAACCAGAGCCTCCCTCGAAGGACCAGTTTAGGACAGTCCTGTCCCAGCCCCGCCGCCGTGACACGTCATGTACTTGGCATGGTCTTGACATGATCTCCACAGGTGCCATCTTGGCCCTAGTGGTGGCAGGGAGGGATCTCCCTTGTTTGTTCGGTTGTTGGCTTTCATGCCGGAATTAGCTGCAATAGTGACGTTGCATGTGCCTTCATCCGTTGCGGTGCCACGTTTTCCTTTGGCATCCCCATGGCAGATGTCTCCATCTGCGCGTCTGTGAGGAGGCACGTCGAGCTTGAACGTGCTCCCGGAGCATACCAAGCTGTTGCATAGCCGTTTAATGGTGCTGGGGGGGGAACACCCACATGGTCAAACGTGTTGCTGTTGATCTCAAAAGCGGGGGTTTGCCACACTGTTTACCAAGGGCAACAGGCATCTTCTGCGACAAGTTCTATCAAAATGTGATTGGATAGGCCAGATTGAAATCATGCACGACTCCAGACAAACAGCCGGACATTTGCCTGCAAACATCCTTGCAAACAAAACTAGGCCCCAATTCTGCCGAAAGCGTGCATGACAAAGTAGCGCACGTTCGGCGGCGCAGCCTCTTTTTTTTTTCTGTCTCCGCACGTCGACGAGGGAGGCGACGCGCGTTGGGCGCGGAGCCTCACGAGCTCGACCGCCTCGCAGCCCCACCGGCCTGGCAGCAGCCCCCGGTACCGGTGCCCCATCCGCCCGCAGGGGGGACACCAGAGTGGCGTCGCAGCAAAGTTTTTTTTCTTCGCACACCTTTTTCCGGCCGCCGAGAAAGGCGAACGAAGCGCGCGCGCGCCGACGTGGCGACTAGCCACGCAAAGGCAGAAGGCTGGGCCCGGACGGGCCAGCCTTCGCGCTGCCACCGAACTCGACCCCGCAGCCACCGGCGTGTCTCTTGACGGGCGTTGCGCTTATGACTCGGTGTCCCGGGCTGCTTTCCTCGACAAACTCGCGGAAGTGACGCCTTCGCTTGTACCCTTTGTCCGCGCCTTCTATGCGCGGCAATCGGTGTACTTGTGGTGGGACGGTGCCGGCGCCTGCCACCGCATCCTACAGGGCGATGGCTGTGAGCAGGGCGACGCGTTGGCTCCCGCTCTGTTTGCCCTTGCGCAGCACGTGGCGCTGGTGGCGACCTCCCAGCAGCTCCGGCCGGGAGAGTTTCTTGCTGCTTTCTTGGACGACTTGTATATCGTCACCGTGCCCAATCGCGCGCGCGCCGCGCTCGAAGCGGTTTCTTCTGCCGTTGAGGAACTTGCCGGGGTTGCCGCCAACCTAGGCAAAGCGCGCGTGGGCATTTCGGAGCTCGGCCCTGAGGCGTGGCGTGGCGACAAACCGTTGCCCGAGCGTGGGTTTGTTGCCCTCGGCACGCCCATCGGCGCCCCGGAGTACGTTGCCGCGTGCGCGAGGGAGCGCCTGGAGCAGGAGCAGGGCTTGCTGGCGGAGCTGCCGCAGCTGCCTGACTTGCAGTGTGCCTGGCTGCGGCTCCTCGTTTGCGCCGCGCCTAGGGCGCAACACTTGCTCCGCACCGTGCCGCCTTACTGCAAGCGCTCCTCGGCGAGCGCGGATGCCCGCCGCCTTGCTTTTCTTCCAGCGCGCGAGGGCGGCCTTGGTCTCTTGTGTGCCACACACGCTGCGCCTGCCGCCTACTGGGCGGCCTGGGCCGATTCCTTGCCGGTCATGCTCCAGCGTCGCCCTGATGCGGCGGAGCGATGTGTGCGGGAGCTCCTCGTAGACGATGAAGCTGCCGCCCCTTGCCTTCGCGAGGCGGCCGTCGCTGGCGACCTGCTCCGGCGCCACTGGCCGGGCACCACGCTGCCCCCCGGCGCACACGCACGTCGCCTTGCGCAGGCGCCTGCGCCTCGCGCTGCCCCTCGCGCACCAGTATTGCGGAGGCGATGGGTTCCCGGGGTGCGGCGCCGCGCTCGATGTCTTGGGCGACCATGCGGCAGCGTGCCCGCGCAGCGGACTGTTGGCCCGCCGCGCCCCCTTGCTTGAACAAGCGTGGGTCCGCGTCGCGCGTGAAGGTCTGGGGGCCAACACTTCTGCGCCAGGCGTCAGTGCGCAGGACAGGCGCCGCCTGGATCTTGTTCTTTACGGCGCCACGCGCTTGGGCGAAGCGCTGTGCTGCGACGCCACGCTCGTTGCTCCGCTCCGTCGCGACGGCCGACAGCAGCCACGCGCGGCCGAGGAGGACGGCGCAGCCATTGCGGTAGCGCGGCGCCGCAAGGAGGCGCGGTACCCGGAGCTCTGCCGGCCTGGCCCGCAGCGGCTGGTCGTTCTTGCTTGTGAAACGGGCGGGCGGTGGGGCCCCGAGGCGTGCGGCTTAGTTGATCGCTTGGTGCGCCTCCGGGCACTCCGCGCGCCTCCAGCCGTCCGCCGCGCGGCCGAGGCGGGTTGGCGCCGCAGGTGTTGGGCACTGCTCAGCGCCGCCTTGCAGCGCGCCCTCGCTTCCACTCTGCTCGGAGGGCGTTGGCGTCCCAGCTCGCGCTTGCAGCGCGAACTGGTACGGCCTGGTGGCCTCATCGAAGCGGCGCGCATAGCGCCGGGCGAGCGTGCGGGCGACCAGGCGACAGTTGCAATGCCCCTCGCTCCGCCGCTAGGCTTCTGCAACGCCGTGAGGCGAGCCAGGGCGAGCGCTGCGAGTATGGGCTCTGGGACATCCGCGTTGGCTAGCTTCGTTGCCGCCTCGGCAAACAGCGCAAGCGTGGCCTCATCGGCCAGCAGGATTTTGTAGTGGTCAACCGTGGCGCCGGACAGGCCCGCCGCCGTGCCCTTTTTGGCCGTGCGGCCTTCGAGGCTGTGGCGGGCGGCGGTCCGGGTCGGACAAGGCGGCCAGGGTTGCTTCATCGCCCGGGGCCAGCGATGCTGAAGTGAGTGTCGTCGCCCTGCTGGACCTGGGCGCACGCACGCGCACGCAGTTGCGCCGACGTGGGCAGCTCCGAGGTGCTCACGCCAGGTTGAAGGGCGCGCGCTCGGTCCAGCAGCGCCTCCCAGCGGCCGGCACTGCAGGAGTTCCGCCTTGCCTTCCGCGCCCCGAGAGGCGCCGCGTGTGAACAGCAGCCTGGGCAGCAGCAGGAAAAGCTTCCAAGCGCGCACCTGCGGCGAGCGACACGCCTGCGGCTGGCCAATCGCCGACGCCGTCGCCGTCCCCGCCGCACGCGTGGCACTGCTCCGGAGCCTGGTCCTGCCGCGGCGGGTTTTCATGGGGACGACACTGACAGCACCTTGAGCTCTGTTGCGCGGGCCCTCGATCACGCCGCTGCTCAGCGGGCTGAGGTTGACGCCGAGCCGGGCGCAAGCGATGGCGAGGCTTCCAGTGCGGCGGCTCGCCAGGCGGCGCACCCCTTGCCGCGAGTGCCGCGTCCTTCCTGGGCGTGGCTGGACACCGTTGAGCTCGCCGCTGAGTTTGCGAGCCCTGTTCCTACTCTGCAAGGGTTTCCTGGCTTCATGCTGCCAGGAGCGCGCCGAGCATGGGCGTTCAGGCGCTAGCGGGAGCCGGAACGAGTTGGCGTGGCGATCAAGCGCCAAAGCAAACAAACACCTGTAAGCAGGCCTCCTGCGCCGGGGCTATGATGTAGCCGTCCGCCCGCGACAGAACGCGGGTGGCCCAAGCCAGGTGGACTCGCGCTCCAAACGGCAGCAGCGTCGCGGCTTGCTGCAGCTGCGCCGCCAAGACTGCAGGCCTCGCCGCGCGCCGTGGCCCCATACACGATGAGGTCCAAGCGACTCCTGGGGCA